TGTACGAGCAGCTAACACGCATGCGCTGCATGCATATCCTCTTCGCCCCACACCTCCCCCCTACAGCAATTCCTTTTGCTGTCACGGAGGCTGGAGTTGTTGATGCTTAGCTGCTGCTGCTGCTGCTGCTGCAGCTGTTGATGCTGCTGCTGCTGCTGCTGCAGCAGCTGCTGCTGCAGCAGCAGCTGCTGCTGCGATTGCTGTTTAAGGGTTAGTGGCACTTAGGGCGTTGTCCTGCATGCATTTGATGGGGCAGCAGCTGCAGCAGCAGCAGCAGCAGCAGCAATTTACTTGTTGGAGACAGACGCAAGGGCGCTGTCTCCTGCTGCTGTTTGCTGCTGTCAGTGCTGCAGGCCCTGAGGGGCCCCCTGTTTGCTGCTTTGTTTTTTTAGGTTTTTTATTATCTCAACAACAGATCTGCTCAAGTGTCTCCCGCATGCATTCGTGCTGCTGTTGTTGCTGCTGCTGCTGTTGCTGCTGCTGCTATTGTTGCTGCTGCTATTGTTGCTGCTGTTGCTGCTGCTGCTATTGTTGCTGCTGTTGCTGCTGCTGTTGTTGCAGCCGCTGTTTGTGGTGGTGCTGCTGCTGTCTGTGGTGATGCTGCTGCAGCTGCTATTGATGGAGCTGCTGCAGTTGCTGCTGTTGGTTTTGCTGCTGCAGTAGCTGCCGTCCGTGCAGCAGCAGCAGCAGCTGCTGCTGCCGCACTGTTAGCAGCAAATACGCAGCTTTAAGAGGAGACACTTTGGGGGCCCTCAGTGGAGCAGAAGTTGAGGAGACACGGGGCCCTTCAGCTCTCCTGGAGGGTACAGCTGCAGCAGCAGCTGCTGCTGCTGCAGCTGCTGCTGCTGCTGATGATGATGTAGCTGCTGTTGGTGCTGCTGCAGCAGCAGCTGCTGCTGCTGACGATGACAAAGTAGCTCCTGCTGTTGCTGCTGGTGGTGGTGGTGCTGCTGCTGCAGTACGCGCTGTTGGTGCTGCTGCAGCAGCAGCAGCTGCTGCTGCTGCTGCTTCTGCCTCTGGTTTGTTGGGGTCTGCTCCCTGCTGCAGGTGCTGATGCTTCTCAAGTCGCTGTCTGCGCCCGTTGCTGCAGCACAAACAGCAGCAGCAGCAGCAGCAGTAACAGCAGCAGCAGCAGGAGCAGCAGCAGCAGCAAAAGCAGCAGCAACAGTTTAAAAGACGCACAACTCTGAGGGACTGAGGGAGAGGCAGCAATAGCTGCAGCATCAGCAGCAGGAGACAGACAAATAAAGATATATAAATAAACAAACAGAGACAGCACTTTCTTACTGTCTCCGTCTTGCTGATTTATAGTTGAAGAGAGACACAAATTTAATAGTGTGTTTGATGTGCAGCTCCCATCAATACTTTTTGTTGCTGCTGCTTCTCTTGCTGCTGCTGCTTCTCTTGCTGCTGCTGCTGCTCTTGCTGCTGTTGGTTCTCTTGCTGCTGCTCCAGATGTTTGTAATGCTGCTGCTCTTGCTGCTGATGCAGCTGTTTGTAATGCTGCTGCTTCTCTTGCTGCTGCTGAAGCTGTTTGTGAAGCTGCTGCTCCTCTTGCTGCTGCTGCTGTTGCTGCTGCGCCTGCTGCTGCTGCTGCTGCTGGAGGATTGTTTGTTAAGGTAGAGGAGCTGCAGCAAAAAGAGTTTAAATGAGAGAGATAAATATCTCTTGAGCTGTATGTACACCTCAGGCCTGTTGAGCTGTATATACACTCCGATTTGCTGCAATGCTCTTTATTTGCTGCAAACGCATTTGCAGCTAAAAGAATTACACTCGAGCAGTGCTGCTGCTCTTCTTGCTGCTGCTGCTGCTGCTGCAGCTGTTGCACCTGTTGCTGTTGCAGTTGTTGCGGCTGGTGCTGTTGCCGCTGCTGCTGTTGTTGCTGCTGCTGCAGCAGTTGCAGCCGTTGCAGCTGTTGCTGTTGGAGCTGTTGCTGCTGCACGATCTTGTGCTGCTGTTGCAGCTGTTGCTGTTGCAGCTGTTGCTGCTGCAGCTGTTGCCGCTGCTGCTGTTGCTGCTGCAGCTGTTGCTGCTGCAGGGGTCGCTGCTGCGTCTGTTTTTGCTGCAGCTGTTGCTGCTGCAGCTGCTGCTGCTGCACGATCTTTTGCTGGTGCAGCTGTTGCTGCTGCAGCTGCAGCTGCTGCACGATTGTTTGCTGCTGCAGCTGTGGCTGCTGCAGCTGCAGCAGCTGCTGCTGCTGCACGATTGTTTGCTGCTGCTGTTGCTGCTGCAGGATCTTTTGCTGCTGCTGCAGTTGCAGCTGTTTGAGTTGCTGCATGTCTCTTCCTCGGCTGTCTGTGTGCATGTTTAGATCAGCAGCAAATGGATGAGGGTGCTTAATTTGTTTTATCTTATCTTCTGAGTTAGCAGCAAACTGCTCATTTGCTGCAGGCTGCCGCTGTTCTACAAGGAGACAGCATGAGGAGTGTCTCCTATTGAAAGGAAGGGCCCCTCTTGTAACGGGTTTTGCTGCTGTTGCTGCTGCACTTGCTGCTGCTGCTCTTGCTGCTGCTGCTCTTGCTGCTGCTGCTGTTTCTGCTGTTGCTGCTTTTGCTGCTGCTGCTTCTGCTGTCGATGCTTGTGCTGCTGCTGTTGCTTCTGCTGTTGCTCCTTCAGCTGCTGTTGCCGTTGCAAGACTGTCTCCTAATGTAGGGGGCTCTGCTGCTGCTGCTGCTGCACCACCCCCCTCTTGGGGGGGCGCCCCCTCGCAGCATTTAAAAGGCTTTAGGCAGCAGTTAGCAGAGAATGAAGCATCAGCAGCAGCAAACTTTAATGGTGCTGCACACGCATTGCTTCTTCCTGGTGCTGCTGCTGCTGCTGTTGTTGTTGCTGTTGCTGTTGCTGTTGCTGTTGTTGTTTCTCCTCCACTTGTTGCTGCTCTTCCCTGTGGTGGTGATGGCGCTGCTGCTGCTGCTGCTAATAGTGCTGCTGTTGCTGCCGGCGCAGCTGCTGCTGCTGCTGCAGCGGCAGGGCATTGGTTGACCCATGGGGGGGCCCCTGGGGGTCCCCCTGCTGCTGCTGCTGCTGCAGCAGCAGCAGCAGCAGCAGATCTGTGAAGAGATGCAGCATGTTTAATGTCCTCATGCAGTTCTTCGACTTGGTGAAGAAAATGCACAAACCCTAATTCCATTTTGTCTGAAATAAATCAAACCCTAAACCCTAAACCCTAAACCCTAAACCCTAAACCCTAAACCCTAACTTCATTTTGCCTGCCAAATAAGCCAAAACCCTAAACCCTAAACCCTAAACCCGAAGTTTAATTACAGCAGTGAAACCAAACCCTAAACCCTATGCTGTAATTCCATTGTCTTTGAATAAACCAGGCCCCAAACCCTAAACCCTAATTTCCCTTTTAACTTAAAACACCCAACTCTAAACCCTAAACACTAGTTCTATTTGAGCTACAGCAAACCCTAAACCCTAAACCCTAAACCCTCGGGTCTTGAGCTGGCGAATTTGTTAGTAGCATTTATACTCGAGGACCGCGTACCTCACTTTGAAATCAGCGGTTTAGGGTTTAGGGTTCACAGTTCTAAAGGTGAAAATTAGGGTTTAGGGTTTAGGGTTTAGGGTTTAGGGTTTAGGGTTTAGGGTTTAGGTACCGGATATTTTGTTGTCGCTGGAAGCCAACAGTTTGAGGTACAGCTTCATCAGAGAAGTCCCAAAGCGCTCAACAGCCTACAGTGAAACCCTAAACCCTAAACCCTAAACCCTAAACCCTAATTTGAAACCCTACGTGTTGCACTGCAGACTCCAAAGTTAGCTGCGTCTCCCTTCGTACAATGCAACCCTCGCCCGAACCCCTAAACCCTAAACCCTAAACCCTAAACCCTAAACCCTAAACCCTAAACCCTAACCTCTAGTTTTTTGTTGGCTAGGCCTAATTGAAGAGACAAGAGACGCAGAGTGTGAAGCGTCTCTCTTTGCTTTTCCTGCTGCTGCTGCTGCAGCTGCTGCAGCAGCTGCCGATCCCTCTGGGAACGTCTTTCAGAAGCAGCAGCATGAGAAGCCCATGAACTCTAAACCACAAACCCTAAACCCTAAACCCTAAACCCTAAGCCGCAAGCTCTAAACCCTAAACCCTAAACCCTAAGGTGCAAGCCATACGAGATAAGAAGGCGGCCTTCAACAAAGCATTGCCGGTGACAGGCTGAGAAGATCTCGGACTGACTTTGTAAACCCTAAACCCTAAACCCTAAACCCTAGTAGCAGGTGTGCCCACCACTTCTTCCTTCGCCTCTTTGGCGACCTTCTGCAGCTTCCTGGTCAAGACACAGCGAGCCTTAAACCCTAAACCCTAAACCCTAAACCCTAAACCCTAGAGCATAAGCGCCAGGTCTTAAACGAGGAAACAAGCAGAAACCCCCAAAGCCAAACGAAAGAAAAGAAGTAAAACAAAATATATAGATAAATAATATAAATAAATAAATTAATAAATAAACATTTATATCTATATTATATTATATAAAACTAAGCATTAAGGAAAGGAGACAAAACAAACAACAACAGGAGACACTCGGAGACGCCCAGGAGAGGAGACAGAGAGATAAACCCTAAACCCTAAACCCTAAACCCTAAACCCTAAACCACCCTCACTGCTTGTATAGGGCGGCGCGCCTTCTTGCCAGTTTCTCCTTCTGCTTCAACGCCTTCAGCAACAGAATAGAACCACCCTAAACCCTAAACCCTAAACCCTAAAGGGCGTATGATGTACGCGTAGGTTCAAAGGCCGCGGACAAGTAACCCTAAACCCTAAACCTTAAACCCTAAACTATCTTTCTCTCTTACGCGTTTGTTTAGGGTTTAGAGTTTAAGGTCTAGGGTTAGGGCTTAGGGCTTTAGGGTTTACAGTTTAGGGTTTAGGGTTTAGGGTTTAGGGTTTAGGGTTTAGGGTTTAGGGTTCGCCTCACTTCATACAAATGTTGGTCTCCGCTTTCTGTGGCAGTTGCCGTCGTCTGTTTAATTTGAGCAATAAAAATAAAAATAAAATAAATAAAATAAAATAAATAAAGTAAATAAAATAAATGTAATAAAAAAATATATAAAAAGTTAAAATAAAATAAATAAAATAAAAAAGAGAAGCATAAAAAGCAAAGAGAGATAAAAGGAGACAAAAGAAGGAGGCAATCAGAGACAAGCTACAGGACAACCCTAAACCCTAAACCCTAAACCCTAAACCCTAAACCCTGGGGTTTACGTGCATCGTTTGGTCCTTCTTCTTCCACTTATTCTCCGCCTGTCTTGCTTTGTGCGGTAGCTCGAAGTACTCTGTCCAATAAGCAGAAACCCTAAACCCTAGACCCTAAATCCTAATCCTCAAACCCTAAACAACAAACCCTAAACCCTAATTGGAGGGGCTTTCTCTAAAGCGTCTCGGCTTACTCTCAGCGAGTCGTGAAACTCCCGTTGCGCAAAGGCTTGAGCTGTGCGTACACCCCAACGTTATGGCAGCAATTTAGGGTTTAGGGTTTCGGGTTTAGGGTTTGGGGTTGGGCTTCTGCTGGAGGGTGTTAACGAGAGGAAACAAAACTCACAGAGACTCAGGCGGGCCTTCTGCTTCTGTTGCTGCTGCTGCAGCTGTTGCTGCTGCTGCTGCTGGAGCCGCTGGCGGTGTTGCTGCAGCAGGAGCTGCTGGAACTGTTGCAGCTGCTGTGATTGGTGCTGCTGCTTCTGCTGCTGCTTCTGCTGGTGCTTCTGCTGCTGCTTCTGCTGGTGCTTCTGCTGCTGCTTCCGCTGCTGCTTCTTCAGCTATAACCTCCTGCAAACCCTGGATGCAGCAAAACCCTTTCCTAGAGCTTGAGGGTTTAGGGTTTAGGGTTTAGTGATATGCATGAAGAGCTCCAGAAAGGGTCTCTAGTTACTCCCTTCTTCTACACTTGCCGTAAACCCTAAACCCTAAACCCTAAACCCTAAAGCGTACTTGTGGAGAGTCTGTCTCTGTTCTGGGCGTTGGAGGTGGGGCAGGAGAAACGTATCGGCAGCGGGAAGCAAAGGGTTTAGGGTTTGGGGTTTGTTTAGGGTTTAGGCTTTTTTTAGGGTTTGGGGGTTGTTTAGGGTTTAGGGTTTGTAGACCTCTAAGAGTCCAGCTTGTCCTTCGCCTCCTGGTAGAGCAGATACAAAGCTCAGCAGCCTTTAGGGTTTAGGGTTTTAGGGATTAGGGTTTCTTGCTTTAGGGTTTAGGGTTTAGGGTTTAGGGTTTAGGGTTATACTCTTTTCAAGAAACCCTCACCGGGGAGCTTTTGAACCTCCCTTTCTTTTGGAGGCCCTCCGCTGCAGCGGTGCTGCTGCTGCTGCTGCTGTTCCTTCTGCTGCTGCTGCTGCTGCTGCTGCTGCCGCTGCTGTTGTTGTTGTTGTTGCTGCTGCTGCGGAAGCGGGGCAAAGACAGCAGTGCAGCAGTAGGTGCGGTGTATGTAACCCTAAACCCTAAACCCTAACAGGACACCCCAAAGGGTGCTGGGTGGCTGCGATGGTGGTGGGAGGGTTTAGACTGTACACCCTATATGCAACCATTTAGGGGTTTTATGGTTTAGGGTTTAGGGTTTAGGGTTTGGTGTGCGTACGCCGCGGGCCTTGTAAAGAGGGTTTTCCCTCGAGGCTGTCTCTGCTGTTACGACGCTGCAGCGTTCTCTCGTCCGTTGATACCTGTGCAAACCCTAAACCCTAAACCCTAAACCCTAGATCCTGGAGTTCGTTGCAGCGCAGCCCCTTGTAAACCTTTTCACCTAGACTATGCAGCTTAATCCCTAAACCCTAAACCCTAAACCCTAAACCCTAGAGCCTAGCCTGTTGATCTTGAAGACTCTGAGACAAAGGGATACTGTAGACACCTGAAAGGGGGCAGCAGAGACAGAAGAAATGGGGATTATAAATAAAGCATTTATTGATGCTGCTGCTGCTGCTGCTGTTGTTGTTGCTGCTGCTGCTGCTTTGCCTCTCTTTTTCTGTCTTCGTTTGATTATTCTTTTGTCTCTATCTCTGTTTCTTTCTCCGTTTTTGTTTGTTTGTTTAATAAGGATTTGCATGCATATATGCATGCAGCCTTATTCTCTGTTATCTATTATTCTTTCCTGTTGCTGTGGGGCTTTAAGGGTTTAGAGTTGTGGTGTATATACACCCCAGGGGCCCACCACTGCTGTCACAATTGGGGTGTCTATGCAGCTCCTCAGAAGGCAAAAGAATATTGTTAACAAGGTCTCTTTCTCCTTTCACTGTCTGCATTAACCTCTCGCTAGATAACGCCAATCGAACCTCAGCAGCAGATATACACGTAGCATTCCTACAACTATCTTTCTTTCTATCCATCACAGGGGTCCCCCTACCTCTTTGCTGCTCCCCAGGGGGCCCCCCAGCTTTGCGGGGCTTCTCAGGGGGCCCCACAGATATAGGGGGCCCCTCAGAAACCCCCACAGGAATAGAGGGCCCCTCGGGGGGCCCCACAGGTATAGAGGGCTCTTCAGGGGGCCCCATACGTCTACGGGACCCCACAGATATAGGGGGCCCCTCAGGGAGCCTCACAGATATAGAGGGCCCCTCAGGGGGCCCCACATGTCTAGGGGGCCCCTCAGGGGGCCCCACATGTCTAGGGGGCCCCTCAGGGGGTCTCGAAGGTATACGCGGCCCCACAGGTATCGAGGGCCCCTCCGGCAGCTTCAATGGTCTCGAGAGCCCATCAGGGGGGCCTAAGGGTCTAGGGGATCCCTCAGGGGGCCCCCCAGTTCCCAAGGGCCCCCTGGAGGGAGGCAGTGAGGAAGGGGCAGCCCGTGGCATTGTCTTTGTGGAAGTTTGGGGTGTACGTACAGGCGAGATGGTGGATGTCGAACGGTAATTTATATTACTTTGCTGTTTTCTTATTTTTGTCTTTTTGCTGCTATTTCTGTTGCGTTTATACAGCTAGCTTGGTGTCTATCTATATACAGCAGCGTGTGCAACTGTCTGTATTGAGGCTAACCTGAAATATAAAAACAATTGTATTAAGAAGGATAAATATAACAAATAATTCTCCGGCTGTTCTTTTTCTCCTTTTTTTCATTGGTACCTGAGGTGTATGTACAGCTCAGATGTGGCGCGATGTGTGTATTTTGCAAATGCCCGCGATCCTGCATTAAAATTGATTTTTCACTTGATTTTAAGGTCAAATTCAATTAAATTGAGTCTTTATTTCCTTATAAAGTCTTTTTTAATTCATTTACCTCCACAAACTCCTACAGAAGCCCTCCTAGCCGACGAACCCAGCCCCGCTGAGGCGCCTATAAACTTTGCTTGCATGCATGCATGCATGCATGTAAGAGAAGTATTTTATTTTGATAATTCGTTTCTTTATGTTGAGTTGTACGTACACTGCATCTCTCCACCCATTTTCATCTCTATTTCCCTCCCACTAGCTGGATTGCGGGCTCCTCTAAACCCTAAACCCTAAACCCTAAACCCTCGTTGGGATCTGGGTTTTTCTGCCTTCTTTTAGGGTTTGCACGCACACCCAAAATCGTGGAATTTACTTTTTATTTCCCCTGATATATTTTTATTTCTCCCTAAATCCACTTGCGAGAAAGTGAGGCAAACCATTCCGATGAGGGCCCCTCTCCGGGGGCCCCCACCCTGAAGGCGAATCAAGAGAATCAGCAGCAACATCAGCGGCAACATCAACATCAACATCAGCACCAACGTCAGCAGCACGATTATCAGCAACAGCAGCACCAATATCAGCAGCAAAATCAACAGCAGCAGCAACAGCAACAGCAGCAGCAGCGGCAGCAGTAATAAAAGGAAATATTATTTGCTGGGAATCGAACCCGACCGCATTGCATTCCTCAGATGTCGAATTTGGTTACAACGGGGGTACCGGGGGCCCCCGGATTTTGTGGGGCCCCTGGCCCAGGGGCCCCCCAGGCTGTTGGGGGCCCCCCAAATCCATTGGGGGCCCCTGCTCGCCTCCCGTTAGCTAGCGAAGTGCTTCATCTGCATTGTTTGCAGCTAGATGAAGTCTTTCGTAATATTAAAGGAAGCAGAAATGCTGCTGTTATGCGTCAGACAGACACTTCATCCCCTCATTTAGCAATGGAGGCGCAGCTCAAAGAAAACCCCTTCGATAGACAAACCTGGGATGCTCTGCTCGCTGTACGTACACCTCCTGCTGCTGCTGCTGCTCCTGCTGCTGCTGTTGCTAGTGCTGTTGCTGGTGCTGCTGTGGCTGCTGCTGGTGCTGCTGTGGCTGTTGATGGTGCTGCTGCTGCTGCTGCTGCTGCTGTGGCTGTTGGCTGTTGCTGGTGCTGCTGTGGCTGTTGATGGTGCTGTTGCTGCAGCAGCTGCTTCCGTTGCTGCTGCTGCTGCTGCTTCTGTTGCTGTTGCTGCTTCTGTTGCTGCTGCTGCCGCTGCTGGTGTAACTATGACGGTGGATGGGGCTGGCGCTGCTGCTGCAGTAGCAGTTGGTGTTTCTGGTGCTGCTGCTGCTGCTCTGGCTGCTGCTGCTACTGTTGTAGGAATTGCTGCTGCTGTTGCTGCTACTGCAGTGGCGTTTGCTGCTGCTGTTGCTGCTGCTATTTCTGTTTCTGCTGCTGCAAATATATTTACATATATAATATATATATCCAGCGGGTGTTGACGATATTCGGCGTCAGTGTCTACTCCATGGTTTGTTTAGGGTTATTTAGGGTTATTTAGGGTTATTTAGGGTTATTTAGGGTTATTTAGGGTTTATGAACAGGAGGCGCCTTCAACAGATTTATATGAACGGGTTATTTTAATATTTCCGACGTGTGCAAATTACTGGCGACGGATGGCGGAGTTTGAAATTGCGAAGGGAAATTTAAACAAAGCGAAAAGCGTCTATGCACGCTCGCTGCATGCATGCCCCCAACTAGGTCCTAAACCCTAAACCCTAAACAACCCTAAACAACCCTAAACAACCCTAAATAACCCTAAACAACCCTAAACCCTAAACCCTAAACAACCATAAACAACCATAAACAACCATAAACAACCATAAACAACACTAAACATCACTAAACAACACTAAACAACTCTAAACAACACTAAACAACTCTAAACAACACTAAACAACTCTAAATAATCCTAAAGCCTAAACCCTAAACAACCCTAAAGCCTAGATCCTGAACAGTCATAAACCCTAAACCCTAAACTACCCTAAACAACCCTAAACAGCCCTAAACCCTAAATAGCCTAAACACTGAACAACCTTAAACCCTAAACCCTAAATAATCAGGAATCAATCAATCAGGATATAGTTGCGGGGCTATTGCCGCCTTGTCCCCTCTGCAAAGCTTCGTTGCATGCATAGCTTAGGGTTTAGGGTTTAGGGTTTAGGGTTTAGGGAAGAAGCAAACAAACAAATACATAGAGAGACAAACAAACAAACAAAGGAATTGACAGCCAGACAGACCAACACATGAATGTAGGGTTTAGCGTTTGGGGTCTAGGGTTTAGGGTTTAGGGCTTAGGGTTTAGGGTTTAGGGTTTAGGGTTTAGGGTTTGTGCGCAGAGCTATGGCTGTCTTACGTGAAGTTTGTTTACTGCACGGGCACAGTGGAGGACTTCCGCCAGGCGTTGACTTCTGCTGTGGAGAAGGTAAACCCTAAACCCTAAACCCTAATTTTAAACCCTCAGCAGTTTGTAACATGTTTGCGGGCCAAACCCTAAACCCTAAACCCTTAGCCGTGATTTCCCTGTGCTGTGCTGCACCGACAGCATCCGGAGCCAGTGGAGTCAGCACTTTAAACCCTAAACCCTAAACCCTAAACCCTAAACCCTTGTGTGCGCTGCAGCTACGGTGGGACCCCAGGACGGGGCCTCTGTGGCAGGAGTTGCTGCTGCTGCTGCTGCGCATTCGAAATGCTGCTTTGTTGGAGAGAGGGCAGGTTCAGGGTCTTCTTTCGGACTTCACTGGCAGAGTATATAAACCCTAAACCCTAAACCCTAAACCCTAAACCCTAATTGAGCCTCCTATCCACTGTAATCGAGGACGCTAATTGCTGCTACTCGCATTTCCTCGGCCTAACGAGGGTTTAGAGCGCCGCAACACAGCTTGAGGGTTTAGGGGTTTGGGTCTACGAGCTTAGGGTTTAGGGTTTAGGGTTTAGGGTTTAGGGTTTGCTTCAGGCTACAGGTCCTTTGATGCCCACGGATTTGGAGCAGAAAGTGTTTAGGGCTCCTCTCTCTCCTGGGGGCAGCAGCCTCACTGAGCAGTTTACCGACGTCAACATGCTGCGTTCGGCCTTTCAAGCTGTAGGGTTTAGGGTTTAGGGTTTAGGGTTTAGGGTTTAGGGTTTAAGGCTGTGTCGGCGAAGTTTCACTTTCACGAATTAGTCGTTTCTTCTTGCTTCTGTTATGGAGAACGGCATTTAAGGTTAAATCCCTAGGGTTTAGGGTTTAGGGTTTAGGGTTTAGGGTTTGCGTTGCAGTGTCTGCGGAGGCCAGTGGCGGGTCTTGAGGGTATTTGGGGGGCTTACTGCGCATTTGAACGAAGTACGAAGGCAAACATGCAGTTAATTTCAAAGCTTCTTTCTTCCTTTGAAGACAAATGCGCTGCCTCCAAGAAGGCACATACCGTAAGGGTTTAGGGTTTAGGGTTTAGGGTTTAGGGTTTAGGGTTTAGGGTTTAGGGATTCCACCAGGCTGGGGAGAGAGAAAGAGAAAGAGAAGGGCCGCCAAGCGAGAAGGCTTAGGGCGTCGGCACTCAGGGTTTAGCTGCGCAAACCCAAGTCTAGGGTCTACGATTGAGGGTCTAGGGTTTAGGGTTTAGGGTTTGTGGCTGCAGGAGCTGATGCGGCTCATGAAAGATATCGATTGGTCCTGTGTGGCGCTGCCGCTTTCCGTTGCAGACAAGTCGCGTCAGGTGAGATTCAGGGTTTAGGGTTTAGGGTTTAGGGTTTATGTGTTGCTTGTTGGTTGCACGTGCTGGAGAGCATTACTAGGGTTTATTCTAATGGCAAGGATTAGCGTTTAGGGTTTGCGTGTATCATGTTGCTCTTAGGTTTGTGTTTAGCTTAGGGTTTAGGGTTTAGGGTTTAGGGTTTAGGGTTAGGAGATAGTGTGTTTTTTGGAGGGTTTGTGTGATTGCGGGTTAATAAGAGCAAAAATAAATAAAATTTTTTTAAAATAATATTAATAAGAAGTCCAAATTAAATTAAATTATTTTAAATGTATATTTTGTTTACAGGCGCATGCAGCAGCTTGGCGAAGTGTGCTGTCTTATGAGAAGACAAACCCTCTTCATTTAATCCCTTCGGAGTTTATTAGTCGCGTCTCTCAGGCCTACCACACGTGCCTCCTTTCTTGTGCTTATCGAGCAGACTTGTGGTTTGAATTTTCTCAGTTCTTACTCGCTAATCAAATGCCGACAAAAGGTACTTATAGACACCCAAAGGGTTTAGGGTTTAGGGTTTAGGGTTTATTGGGGTTTAGGGTTTATTGGGGTTTAGGGTTTGGGGTTGGAGCTTTCCGCGGGTTAAGGAAGTGTAGCGCTTAGGGTTTAGGGTTTAGGGTTTAGTGTTTAGGGTTTGCCCTTGGCAAGAGAGGTGTAGGGTTTAGGGTTCAGTGGTGGGGCCTTGGATGGCTTAGGGTTTAGGGTTTAGGGTTTGATATTTATGATTAGGGTTTAGGGTTTGTTGTGTTCTGCTCAGCTTGTGAAGTTTTACGCCGCGCCATCGACAGGTTCCTTCCAGGCGATGGTGAGTTGGTATTTAGGGTTTAGGGTTTAGGGTTTAGGGTTTGAGTTGACAATTGTTTGTATTGTTTGGGGTTTCACGCTTTTAGGGTTTTCGTTTGAGGGTTTATCTATTTGTAAGAAATATATATATATATATATATATATATATTTAAGATTTCTCTCGTTGAGCGTTTCTTCTCTAGCATTTTGCTTGTATAGGTTTTAGGGTTTAGGGTTTAGGGTTTAGGGTTTGTTGGGGTTTTTCTTTTTTTTTGCAGAGTTACTGCAAATAGTTTTGGCGGAGTTATTAGAAGAAAGAAGAATGATAAAAGCAGCAGATGCTGTTTATCGCAGCGCTATTACTTCAATGGTCTTAGAAACCCCTCAAACCCAAGGGGGCCCCCAGGGCCCCCTCTCTATACAGGGGGCCCCTGTCTTACTGACCAAATACCTTAACTTCATTCGCAGATCTTATGTGAGATTTAGGGTTTAGGGTTTAGGGTTTAGGGTTTAAGGTATACGGTTTCGGATTTCGGGTTTATATTGCTTGAGGTTTAGGGTTTAGGGGATGGGGTTTATGGATCAGGGTTTAGGGTTTAGGGTTTAGGGTTTAGGGTTTGGGTTGGGAATGGTATGTGGAGTTGCAATATTTTTTTTGTTGGGTGGATTTACAAGATTTTTTTCGCCATCCTGGTTCTAGATTTAGGGTTTAGGGTTTAGGGTTTAGGGTTTGGGGTTTGCGTGTAGGGCATAGCAGCTTGGCGCGCATGTTTTTGCGAGATCTCGGAGTTAGATTGCTGCAGCTGGGAAGTGTTTGCTGCTCAAGCAGCAGCAGAGTGGAGTGTATGCGGCTCTCGCATGCATGCAATCGGCGCATTAAAGAAAGGAGCGCTGCGTTATCAAACACACCCTCAGTTTGTTGCTGCTTATGCTGATATGCTGCTGCAGATGGGGTTGTTAGATGGTAAGACAAACAACAAATACTATATTCTCCTGCTGCTGCTCCTGCTGCTGTTGCTGCTGATGCTGCTGATGCTGATGCTGCTGGTGCTGATGCTGCTGTTGCTGCTGGTGCGTGCGGCTGCTGCTGCTGTTTTCTCTTGCTGCTGCCACTGGTGGTGCTGTGTGCTGCTGCTGCTGCTCTTTGCTGCTTCTGCTGCTATTTGCTGCTGATTTTTGCTGTTGTTGCTTGCTGCTGCACTTCTTTAAGCGGCAAAGAGAGGAAGAAGCAGCCACTTTTTGCTGCTACTGCTGCTGCTATTGCTGCTGCTGCTGCTACTGTTGCTGCTGCTGCTGCTGCTGCTGCGATCTGCAGGTGCCCGTGAGCTGCTGCGGCGGAGTGTATTGACACTTCACTCGGAGTTGGGGGGTGGCAGCCGTCTCTTGTGGCAGAAGTGGATTCGTTTAGAAGATTCATACGGAGACGCGTTAGTCTCTTTATTGCTGCACTTAATGCTGCACTTAATGCTGCACTTATTGCTGCACTTATTGCTGCACTTATTGCTGCACTTAATGCTGCATTCAGTGGTCCATTTAATGGTCTGTTTGATGGTCCATCCACTGGCCTATTTGATGGTCCATTGAATGGTCCACCCAGTGGTCCATTCGTTGGTCCACCCAGTGGACCCCTCAGTGGTCCGTTTGGTAGTGGTCCGTCCAGTGGTCCATTTGATGGTTTGTTCAGTGGTCCATTTGATGGTTTGTTTGATGGTTCGTTTGATGATTTGTTTGGTGGTCCATTGGTCTGTTGGGTCGCCGAGTGGTCCACTGTGGGGTTGTTGGTGTGGGAGCATTCGCTTTTGAATTAAACAGAAGCAAAATGATATCAAGGCGCAACGTACACTGCTGCAGTTGCTGCTGCTGCTGCTGCTGCGTTGCATGCTGCCGTTGCGGCTGAAACAAACCAGTGGCAGCAGCAGCAACGACAACAGCAGCGACAACAGCAGCAGCGCCAGCAGCGACAACAGCAGCAGCGCCAGCAGCAACAAAAACAGCAGCACCAGCACCAGCACCATCAGCACCTGCAGCAGCAGCAGCAGCAGCAGCAGCAATTGCGTTTTGTTTTTTTGTTATTTGTCTGTCAGGTCTTCCTTGCGTGCTGTCTTGGAGCTTCGGACGCTGCAGCGTTTAAACCTGACCCCAGAGTTAGCGACTACGGGTGGAGACATTTTAGAAGAGCAGCAGGAAGAGGGCCCAGACCCTGCTGCTGCTGCTGCTGCTGCTGGGGAGCATGCAGCAGCAGCAGCACAACTCACTGTCAGCTCAGCTGGGGCAGACGCAAACCCGAAGGCCTCTGCATACTCCAAACTTAAAATTAGGAGAAGACAATTCATGGGCGGAGGTAGCACAGCCTAACACTCTCTGATGCTGCTGCTGCTGCTTCTGCTGCTGCTGCTACTTCTGCTACTGCTGCTGCTGCTTCTGCTGCCGCTGCTGCTGCTTCTCCTGCTAGTGCTGCTGATGCTGCTTGAGCTGCTGTTGGTGTTTCTGCTGCTAATGTTTCTGCTGCTCCTGCTGCAGCCCTTGCTGGTGTTTGTGCTGCTGCTGCAGAATACGTTTGTTTGCGTTTGGCTGGTGGAAGTCGTTTGTTTGTTTATTTGCTTATTTGTTTGTTTGTTTGTCTGTTTAATATTGTTATTACGATGCCCTTAGTCTTTAGGGTTTAGGGTTTAGGGTTTAGGGTTTGTTTAGGTTTTCAAGTTTTGTGTGTTGTATACTGCTGAGCTGTGGCATTATCTCCGATTTGTTTTTATGTTTTGTTTGTTTTTCTTCTTTTAATTTGTTGCTTCGAGCTATATGCGTATTGGTTTGTTTGCTGCTGCAGCCTGCATGTATTGCTGCTGCTGCCTGCATGCGTTGCTGCTGCTGTGCGTCTGCTGCTGCTGTTTCTGCAGACTCTATGCAAGATATCTTAGAGCTGTATACTGTTTTTGGGGCTTATCCAGCAACTTCAATAGAAGTGCAGCAAAGAGCAGAAGGAATAGGAAGAAGCGCAGCACCTGCTGCTGCTGCTGCTGCTGCTAGTAGTAGTGGTGGTAGTAGTGTTGCTGCTGCTGCTGCTGCTGCTGAGCAGGATAAGGGTCTAGGCATCAGCAGCAGAGACCTAGAGATTGATCCAGAGGAAGAGGAGATGCGCAGCAGCGGCAGCAAAACAACTTCTGCTGCTGCTGCTGCTGCTGCTGCTGCAGCAGCACACATAGCACGGCCGGACCTCGACAGTCTCGCTGCCTTTCATCCTGAACTCTCCGCCATCTACCACCCTATGTTCCTGCAGCAGCAGCAGCAGCAGCAGCATGCAGCAGCAGCAACAAGATCTGCAGCAGATGCTGCTGCTGCTACAGCAGTCCCTATGTTCGCCCCACCGAAATTTTTGTGCGATCTCCTCGCGCTGCTGCCGCGGCCATCTGGGAAATCAAGTAGGTCTTTATTCTCTTTGTTTATATATATATATATATATATTATAGGTGTTTATTATATATATATTATAGGTGTTTATTCTCATATATATATATATAGAATAGGTCTTCATTCTCTTTGTTTAATTATCTACAATATATATATATATATATATGTGTGTGTGTGTGTGTCTGTTCTCGGTCTTTATTCTGTCTGTCCATTTATTATATATATAACAGGTCTTTCTTCTTTTGTTTATTTATTTATAATATATAATATGCATTATAGGTACTTGTTTGGTTTGTTTATATCTTTAATAATATATATATATATATGTATATAATTTATTAGTATTAGGTCTTTATTCCGTTTGTTTATTTATCCATTATGTATCTATTTATATAAGGTCTTTATTCTGTTTATTTGTTCATAGTAATAATACACCAGTAGCAGCAGCCAAAGCAGCACGAGCTGCAGCACCAGCACCAGTAGCATCTGCAGCAACAGCAACAGCAGCTGCAGCAACACCACCAGCAGTATAAGCAGCAGCAGCAGCAGCAGCAACAGCAGCAGCAGCGGCAGGGGTGTGTCTATGTGTGCATTTGATATGCTGCAGCAGCAGATCCAAACCTTGTCGATTATTTAATAACAACACTTCAGGAGACGCAGCTGCCGCTGCTGCCTCAAGGACAGCATCGCCCGCTGGTAGTAAAAGACCTCCTTGCCCTGAGACATTCTCAGCTGCAGTGTTTGCATGCAATGAGACATCAGAAGGTGAGGAGACCCACAACAGCAGCAGCAGCAACTGCAGCAGCAGCAGCAACAGCAATACTTGGGTTGAGAGGGCGCAGCAGAAACGCGAGAAGAGAAGAGATAGAGATAGAGGGAGAGAGAAGAGACCAGACAGAGACGCATAATACACTGCGACTGACGGAGATGAGTATATATATTTATATATATATTTGTTTATTATCATGCTTACGTGCTTGCAGGAGGGCCCTGGAGAGGAAGCAGAAAGTTCAGGGGCCCTGTCCGATGGGGAGAGAGAAGAGGCGTTGGATGCATCGAGCTGGGAGGAAGTGCAGCGAGGAGCTTCTGCCGCTCCAGCTAGCCAGCTAGCTGGGCAGGTAGCTGAGTTTGGTCGGCCTTCAGTGGGTGCTACAGGGGTACAGATAGCCCCGCAGATGTATGGTGGAGGGGCCCCCTTGATGCTTACAGCAGACAGCATAATGCAAACAAGAAGAATGTTAGCTCCAGCAGTGCTGCCTGGGGTACGCCCCATATGGCCTGCAATGAATGTACTTGCCAGCCATTATGCACATGTAGGTGCCCCACAGCTGCATGCAGCTGTCGCTCTTCCTTACGGTATGTCGATGCAAGCGAGGCCCCTTCAAGGGGTGCCTCTAGTAAGGCAGCCACTGCATGTATGGCGAGTTCCAGAGGCCTCCAATCGGTCTTTTCAGACAAAAAAGAAAACACGCTGAAACAAACAAAAACATTTTTTAAACGTCAAATTGTCCTTTTTTATAATACGCATCATGATCTTATTTTTTTAGTTTGTTTGGGATAGATAGAATTTGGCTGTAGGACGCTGGTAGATAGAATCTGACTGTAGGCCGCTGCTACGCTTCACTTGGCTGGGATGATTGCCGTCTTGTTTGTATACCTCAGAGGGTGTTTCAAAAAGCCCCATGTGCATGCAAAAATATACAAGTAATTACAGCAAAAATAAAGGCAAGAGCAAAGAGCCACTTATTCGGGTACTTCTGAATCTTTCTGTGTTTGCAAGTTCGCCTCGCGCCGTCGCCAGCAACCGGCCCATCGTTTGTAAGGATATTGTCATCTCAGCTTGTGTTTGGGAAAGATAAGTTAAAGGGTATTTGACCGGCTAAGATGGAGAAGATGCGAAAGAGTGAATCGATAGATGCAGATCATCTCGTCTATCGGCCGTCTGCTTCAGTGAAAAAAAAACAGAAAACCGTCCAGGTGGAAGAACGCAATATTTTATTTATATCTGGTGTAAACCATTTCTTATAAAATAATATTGAGGCGAAAGTTTAAACAACTACAATTAGAGAATGAGGAAAACGCTCTGGTTGTGCAGAAAGCGTTTCACCTTTTTCGAGTGTATGTGCAGGTTGTGGCCTTCTTGAATTTTCGCTGATTCGGTGGAAACTAGAGAAAAATGAATATGATCAGCAGACTCTGCACAGTTTGAAAGTACTCCTAAATAGATATGCGGTGGTTTTGCTTCCTTTTTTCCGTCTTTTTCTTGCGAGTTTATCGCGCCCAGTGCACAGCGCTCCGCAGCAATCAAAAAGTGATTTCAGCAGCAAGTGACGCTTTAGAAGAGAAACCTCATGAACCATTCGATGAAGAAAAGGCAGATAAAGAAGATGAAGAAGAAACTGAAGAAGAACGTGGGTTTTTTCGCCTGATTTCCGCGTCTGTTCATGCATGCTTTCACGCCCTATGATCTATGCCGATCTGATGCAGGTGAAGCTGAAGCAGAAGCGGAAGAAATGGGTAAAAAATCCACCGATCCCCTGTTTATTGCATTCTTGCATATCAACTTAATTATTTAATCAGATTATTCCTTGGCGACAAAAAACCTAGAAACGGAAATCAATCATAGAGAACAGCTACATGCTGAAGAAGTGAAAGCCGTGAGTTCCCCCATACGAATAAAACCAGGACAATTCAAATATGGGTTCTTCGCCTTCTACGGCTACAGGAACACGAGGCAGAGGAGGCAGTGAAGAAAATAGAAGCAAAACCCCCAGCGTGTTCTGTGCAAAAGGTGTGGCTATTCAGCTAGTAGACCCTTGAAACACCGCCAGCAGCTGCTGCTGCTACTGCAGCCGTAGCAGAAACACTAGCAGCTGCAGCAGCAGCAGCAGCAGCAGCAGCAGTAGCAGCTGCAGAAGCGGTAGCAGTAGGTGGTAGAGCCGGGATTAGTATGCGTTTGCTGTTCAGAAAGGGAATCTGATGGTTGCGAGAGATCCTCTGGATGTTCTTTCTGTGGATTCATTTGCTGCTACAATGGCTAAACGCCATTTCTTAGTGCATTACCCAGGTGAGGTTTCAGGTGTATGCTCACCTCAAGCTGCTACTTCTTCTTTTTCTTCTTGTTGTTTTCATAAACAATCCATCAGATCATCCGGAGGCCCCTTTCTTAAAGCTGCCAATCATTGAAATCCAAACGCCTCTAGAAACCCTCAGAAGAAGCCGCAGATGTGCGTATTCGTGCTCGAGGGTTTAGGGTTTAGGGTTTAGGGTTTGAGGGAAAGTAATAATATATACTGTCCAGGTTTCAGGTTATACCACAAGGGGTCTCCGCGTTTGTTTTGCGCGGAGACAACAGAAGAAAGAGAGTGAGAGAGAGGGTTCTTTTATCTTTTCTTTATTTCTTCTTTTATATTTAGAGCAAATAAAAACTATAATAAACTATAAATGCATGCATTACTATTCGTCTTCAGCGATTGGATGAAGGATATCTACAAAGCTATCTTCTGCATCAACACCGGCGTACAAGGAGCGGGCGCTCCCGAGGCAGAAGCAGCAGCAACAGGTTTGCTATAATTTGGGGTGTATGTGCATACACTGCGTATCTTCTTCTTTACCTAACTGCTGCGCATTTAGAAGCAGGAAAACAAATTCAACTGCCAGCAAGAAGCACAAAAGTTGAGGTAAATAAAATACTCAAACAAACATCAGCAGCTGCCTCTCCTCAACTCCTCTTCTGCTTTTATTCAGCGCTGGACGGCAGAACAGACCCAAATGAGTAAGCCCACTCCCCAGCTATCCAGCTAGCTAGCTAGCTAGCTGATTAGCCATCTGGCTGGCTAGCTATCTAACTGGCTAGCTATCTGGCTGGCTAGCTGGCTAGCTAGCTGTCTGGCTAGCTAGCTGTATCTGTCTAGGTGTCTGTCTGGCTAGCTGTCTAGGTGTCTGTGTGGCTAGCTGTTTAGATAGCTATCAGGGTAGCTAGTTGGCTAGCTGGCTAGCCAGCTGGCTAGCTAGACGCAGCTGTCTCGTTATATATTGTGGATATATTGTGGATTCTGTTTCAGAGGAGAAGATGCTGCAGGAGGCGGAGGTAAGAAGAGCAAATAAAATAATAACAGCAAAAACTTAATAAAAAGAAAACACTATACACCCCAATACAGGGAGGAGAGAGAGCAGGACAACCAGAAGAAAACCCAAAGAATGTCCCTGAGGTTGAGGTTTGTTTAAATTTATTTGTTTATTTTTCTCTTCAAATTGCCCTTCAATTTTGTTTGCAACAAAAACAAACAAATGCACCAAACAGATCAGCGCAGGACAATTCGGGCAGCCCCCAAAGGTTAGTCATTTGTACATTAATATAATATTAATATAATATAATATATTATATTATATATTTATTATATTATATTATTATTTTCAGGTGTCTGTAAACGGAGAAGAAATTGCAGTTCCCACAGTCGCTACACACGAAGACAGAATGAATGCAGATTCGATGGAGGGATAATAAAAAAGAGATAAATAAAAAAACAAAGACAGCGTAAAATAATTCAAAATAATAATCTAAAGTAAAACCCTAGGCATCATATGCGGCCAGTCGGTCCTTCCGCACGCCTGAGCAAACAAACACGAACAAAACAAAAAAAAATATATTAAAATAAAATATCTAAGAAGCAGGTCGTCTGAAATGCAACAATAAAAATAAATAAACAAAAGGAGAAATAAAATAAATACAAAGAGGAAGCATTTCTTTTTTTTCTGTATCTACAGACACTTCAAGAAAGACGTAATAATAATCGCTTATTTATAAACTATGCATAATTAACTATGCATGCAGTTAACATACCGAAGGGTGTAATTTCTTTGTCTATTTTCTTCCTCTTCTTCTTATCTGACTCTGTCTTCTGTTTATCTTCATTCTTATAAAATTTCTGCTGACTCCAGCGGCTGTCTTTCTGATGATAACGACAACAGAAGAGAAACCAATTAAAACGCAATGAATTCACTCCTTATATATATATATATAGCAAATTCGTATATACATATATATGAATTACTGCATATACATGTAATATTATGCATATATATATAAATATATATATATATATATATATATATATATATATATATATTCGCCGCATATACCTCGAC